AATTCTGCACACTAATAGTTGCCTAATAATTTAGATTTTAGATATTCTCTTAAGAAAGCCAAAACTTCACTTTTACTACTTAAATGTTCAGGTTTGAGGGTTTGTTAACATTTTGGATTGACCAAGAGCACTGTAGTTGTGCAATAACAAAATTAATCCTCAAAAATACAACTTGCCTAATAATTGTGCACACAGTGTATGTGCTACAATGCAGTCTCAAATGCTACTGTGCAGCTTGTGCTCTGCTTTTGATGTGGTGCTGTCTGCTAAATGGGGTCACATACAGATTTCCAGCATTTAAGCATGTGCACGGTGCACACATGTTCATACCCACCCCCACATGCACACAAAACACACAGGAAATGATTCAGTTTATAAAGAAGAACTACAAGAAGCAAAACTACTGCAAACAACCTGACAAGCAGGTGACCTCATCAAACAGACAAAAAATAAAGCTCTCTTCAATTTAAAATAGTTTTTTATTTCATTAAATGTAAAGGCCCCACACACTCTAATTGATGGATGGTGAGTGGTTTATAAGTGAGAGCAACGGTTGAGTCAGGACCAGCTGAACCAGCTGTGAACATGCCGAGTGCCAGCAAAAAGTGAAAGCTTACTGCTCGCAAGTGTGAGACCCTTCTTTAATTCAAACTGTTTTACCAACAATGTACTCTGCATTTATACAAACTGAGCTTTTCTGCTTGTATCACTTTTGTGAAAACAATCATCAGTGCTCTTTAACCACTAAAACTTTGATTACTGCAGGTACACCTGTAAACAGCTGCCAAATCCTTAGGATAATAAGTATCACACCCAACAACTAATTTTGTTTTCTAAATGACTCAAGGCTGTCAAATAAACACTTTCCAACATAATACATTGTTGGTCTGCAATCGTGTAGGCCTACACAACCACAGGCCTGCATGGTGTTACCTCTTGCAGGTCTGCAATCTTCTGTTGCAGATCCATCCTCATTGTATATTCTTCTTCCCATCTATGAAACAGAAAGCAAGAAGCAATTTTTAGTTTGTGTCTTAATGTTGAGCCAGAACTAACAGAGAACACAGAGGAGACAGACAACAGTTCAATAAGTATCTTGCATGTAAGTGGACCAAAGACAGTAAGAGCAGACAAGATGAGACTAAGCAGACATAAAGTCTGCACATAGACCGTGCATGATTTTACAGCAGCAACATGTACTAACGCTCCAGCTGGACAGGCTGCATCAGTGTTACATTGACAACTTCAGCTAGGTTAAGGATATATAAAAATGTGACTCTGAATTCAGCAACCATCAATGAGAAACAGTGGTTCACAGAGTTGAATGTTTGATCCCAACTCCTCCTGTCCATATCTCTAAGAGCCTTCAAATCTGAAATTGCTCCCCACAGTTTGGCCGGTGCTTTGCATGGTAGTTTCATCTATGTGTGAATGCGCGAGAGGCTTTTGCACTGTGCTTTGGATAAAAGTGCTATATACTGTTCATCACATACTGGATTTGCATTCACAAAAATAGTTGTAAGTGTGTGATTTGCTAATTCACTGACTGATTAACTGCTGATTGGCCCATAAATCTAAACTTTAATCAGTTTAAAAGCCCGAGAACAGATCTTGTACGTGATGTCAGATTCTGTGACTTCAATACAACACGTGCCCTGGGGAAATTCTCACTCACTGCGGTCTGTAGCCTCTTAAATAAATGCTGCTTGAAATGCAGAATTCTGCGGCACATCGAGACCTTTAGGGAATACTAAATCTGAAAGAAACTGAGTCATGGAACAGGAGCGGTGCTTGGTTGATCAGAAAGGTGAGAGCGTGCAGAGTTGAGAAGTGCATCCTTGTGCAAACCAAGCCCCCGTCCAGCAGTTACAGCTTGCGGTGTATGCTGCATTGCAGATGCAGTGTTGAGAGGGGGATGCGCAGGGGGGAGAGAAGTGAGGCAGAGAGTATGAAAGGGGAAGTGTTTACTGTGTGGGAATGTGTGGTGTTTATGTGAGACAGAAGAATGTTGCGGTCCAGAATGGGAGGGGGTGCAGTGACAGAGGAGAAGAGGGAGGGAGAAAAGTTGTCTTTCAATAAAAGAAGAGGGTAAAAAAAGTCACCACAAGTTTTAAAAGGTGAATTAATCAGACCCTCCAATATTAAAGATTAAAACTATTTGCATACTGTAGGTAATGGTCATCAATGTAATGGAGCGAGTTTCACTTAGAAACATGTTTTAATGTGTCCATTGTGCTGAGGTGAACCGACAGCACAGTCACACTGACTGAGAAACACCAAAGACTCCTTGCACAGGGCTCAGTGGGTGAACAGGAGCTGAGCAGGACACACAGTGTCACACACCTTTATTTCAGGATTGAAACAAACAAACAAACAAACTCGCATGTTGCATAGTCTTGGGGTGTCAGGGTCGCCCCAGCTCTCCCTCATAATGTCCTCAGTGAAGAACGCGTGGCTGCCCATTTGGACATAACATGAGAATTCAGTGATGAACATGCTGGGACACGAGTCCTACTGCAGGTCACTCAGGACGGGTAATGCATAATCCCCAACTTCTATATATCCTTCAAATAAATGATGGAATTAATGAGAAGTGGCCTGTTTTCTCCAAATGTTTAAAAGCAAAATCCAGCCTAAAAGAGAGCTCAGTGATTTTGAACAGTTAAGCCATCATCCACCTTAAACTAGAAATGAAAGCATCCAGGTTTGAACTGGTGACTCGAGCAGCTGACACAGTTTTGTAAACTGGTGCACTGAAGATGAGCGGGCTAAGAAAAGTTTATTTTATTAATCAACTGGATGATTTGTCTGTAAGCACACTGAGAGCCTCTGTGCAGGAGACGAATTCCTTGCATGCTCAACATCCTTGCCTGATTAACTCTGATTCTGAAAATGTAAGGAAGTAGTAAGAAGTCTGTCATCTACAGAGAATTTCCAGTTTAACAAATTAAAAATCAGCTTTACAGTAAACATGAGCTGGGCTCTAGCTGAGGGGTTCAATAATATTCCTGTAAACAAGAGTCAATCCTCTAAGGAGCTTCGGGAACTCTGATGTGTAAATGTGAGCCACTGACTGGTCCTAACATGCCCCACGAAGCTTCATTCTTCTTTATATTTAGCCTGTGACCTGCTCATTTTTGGGTGTATTTGTAGCAGCACCACCTGTCTGTGTGGTCAGACATGCAGGGTGAGGCTAGAGGCGATGGTTGGAGACAGCTCCTGTTGGAGACAGCTGGTGTACAGCTGCTTTACCATGTGTTAGGTATTTTTAGTCAGATAGACATTGGATAGATACTTTATGTATTAGAAATGTTTAGTGGAGATAGGATGTCTAGTTAGACTGTTAAATGCTTAGGCATGCTTATGAGTTTCTACAGGGTACATCTGGTCAAGGATAACTAGAGAGAAGAGTTGATGACTGTCCAGACAGGGTGTTTAATATTACTATTATGACGTGTGTAACTGTAGCCTTAGCCATAATATGTTCTTATGTTTAA